AGCCACCACTGAATTGTGAAGATGATCAATTTCAGCGCTATTTTCATCAAATTAATTTGTTTGTTTCTTATGAGCTACTTGTGATCACCTATTATTCTATTTTACATAATGATCAGAATATGATCAAATTTTTTATTTAAGAATATTTTCTTGGACTGGTTCTAAAGAAGAACAGGAATCTGGGTGGATTTTTATTTTAATTTCAGGGTGGGATCTGCAAAATTTTAGGGCGGAATAATAGCAGGAGGAAAAAAGTCTGGCCTGACTTTTTAAACAGAAATCAGGGTGAATTATGGCTCATTTAAATATTTCAAATTTATCCCACCCTGAAATTGCTCTCCAAATTTAACTAGAAGTAAATCTATTTTTAGAAATCTGTGTCAGTGAAAATTCTGCCCTGGATTTCCATTTCAGGGTGGTATTTTTTCATGGCTCATTTAAATATTTCGTTGAATCCACCCTGAAAACACTATATATTGTATACTAAAAAAAAATCTAAAAATGAGTTTTTCTGTCTTCTCTATAGTCCAACTGAATAGCTTAAAAAACCTGGCTGGGAATAAAATGTCTTATCCCATGTCAAATCAGGGTGTAGTCAGGGTAGGCATTTTCGTACAGGTAAACGGAAACTGAAAATTTCATATTATTTTCAAAGTGAAAGGGGCATTACTCTACCAAAAATCATTGAACCATGACCAAATTTGAACTTGACCTGCGCATTCCTTTGACGCATCCATATGTCAAGTTTGAGTTGAATGTGTTGTACCTTTGGGGAGATAATTAACGGAAACTGAAAATTTCATATTATTTTCAAAGTAAAAGGGGCATAACTCTGCCAAAAATCATAGAACCATGACCAAATTAGAACTTGACCTGTATTTTCTCATGACATATCCATATGTCAAGTTTGAGTTGAATGTGTTGTACCGTTGGGGAGATAATGAACGGAAACTGAAAATTTCATATTATTTTCAAAGTAAAAGGGGCATAACTCTGCCAAAAATCATCGAACCATTACCAAATTAGAACTTGACCTGTATTTTCTCATGACATATCCATATGTCAAGTTTGAGTTGAATGTGTTGTACCCTTGGGGAGATAATGAATGGAAACTGAAAATTTCATACTATTTTCAAAGTAAAAGGGGCATAACTCTGCCAAAAATCATCGAACCATGACCAAATTCAAACTTGACCTGTATTTTCTCATGACATATCCATATGTCAAGTTTGAGTTGAATGTGTTGTACCGTTGGGGAGATATTGAACGGAAACTGAAATTTCATATTATTTTCAAAGTAAAAGGGGCATAACTCTGCCAAAAATCATGGAACCATGACCAAATTCAAACATGACCTGTATTTTCTAATGACATAACTATATGTCAAATTTGAGTTGAATGTGTGCAACCGTTCTTAAGATAATGAACGGAAACTGATGACGACGGAATGACAGAATGACGAAAGGATGGAAGGAGGGAAGGATGGAAGGACGGAAGGACGGAACAGGGTAACACTATATGCCCCGGCCATTACATGGCGGGGATGAAAGGATGGAAGGACGGAATGACGGAAGGACGGAATGACGGAACAGGGTAACACTATATGCCCCGGCCATTACATGTCGGGGGCATAATAAATATCTAAATTATACCCTGACTTCCCTGTGCTGAACTTATAAACTGAATTGAAAACAAGAAAACTTACGGAATGACAAGATCCTTGAGAATTTTTGGAATTGGTTTAGTAATCATCAATATCATTACTTGGAATGACAATTGTGACATACAGGTTTCTTCACAACTGTCCTTGTACTCTCTACCATACCCTAAAATACCTGAATTGTCAAATCTCTGAAATAAATAAAAAATTCATTGTTTTAACACCTTCCAATCTAGACAAAAGTTCATATCAACGTATTTCTTTCATGAAGATCTGATGACAACCTTATATGTTTCGCCTCTAAAGGTTGAATTTCCAGACACGCGAAGTCACGTGATCTCAGTTTGACCCCTTCAGAAGTTATGGTCGATAAAATATCAATCAAACTGCAACTTCCCTGACGGTAAGTCTTGTTTAATTTTCCTATTTTTAGCCATACAATCAAACTGGTTTTACAGATAAGCATTAGAAGAAGTAAATACCGTTATCCCCTAGAAGTTAAACAAATTGTTGATTTTTGTTAGGAAAAAATGTTTGAAGTAATTTGTAACAAAGGCAAGATTGTATTGTCAGTTTCGTAGCCTGTCAGCTATGATGGACAACTTCATGTTTTTTCTCAAAATCGTGAAAATAACCTACTCCGTATTCGTTTTCAAAGGGTTAAAATCAAGGTTAAAATCAGAAACTGCATTGCTTTCAAAATAATAAAAACTCGTCAATGATTGGTTGTTTGAAAGACTACGAGAAGGTGACTGCCTAGGAGTTAATGTCCGACCCTAATGCATACTTTAATTTAGGAGTTGATTTTAATTAGATTGAACACCTTTTGGATCATATCTTGGTGGTTGGTCCCTATAACTAACTAATTAACCAGTTATAACTAATTTCTCAGGAAATGACAATCATGACCACAATCATGATTTCTGAATGACTCATGACTTTGAGACTCAATTTCCAAGACTAATACAGCTGTGCTTATACATGTTTATTGTTTTTAGAGAAATTGATTTTGTAAAAAAATTTGTCAATGGTAAAATACATAAATAATAAGGATAAACTTTGATTCCTCTAATATACAGATTCACCCTTTATATTTTATTAATGTGAATATGTAAAGCAGACAAATTGTTTCCCAATCTTGTATTTTTAGAAACGAATGTGTTATAAATAGCTCTTGGAACATTATTTTGAATAAGGCTTAATAGTGATATGATGTACTATTCTAAGATTAACTTAATGAAATACTTTGTTTGAATCAACACAGAATTGTTAAGTAAAAGCTGAAAAGCTTAAATATAGAGAGTGGACCGAAAAATTAGATATACAAAAGGGTTTTGTTACTGTTTACATGTTTTATCATTGGCAAAAAGTTGAAGGCCATTTAAGAAAAATATTGAGTTTTTTTTTCTTATGGAAGGAAAAACAAAGAATGTTTGTTTGTTTGATTGGGTTTTATGTCACACTGAACCAGTTCAGTTAAGGTCATATGGTGACATTCCAGCTTTACTGGTGGAGGAAGACCTGAATCAGTTGCATTATTTCAGGCACAAACATGCACCTGAGTAGAACCACTGACGTTCCGTAAGCTATGTGGATAGCTTCCTCACATGAAAAAAACCAAAGTCCCTGTCGAAATCCGAACCCATAGCCGTGAGGGGGAAGTGGTTTGAAGTCAACCACCTTAACCACTCGGCATCAACGCTCCAAAAACAAAGAACGTAATAAAGGTTACTTACCCCTCTGAAGAATGCAATATAGAAGCATGAGGAATAGTTGTTCACAAACTGGAAGGCAAACAACTTGATTATAAGAGCATCATTGTACATAGTCTGTGTTCGATGATTTTCTGAAACAGGAAAACAAAAATTAAAAAAGAAAATATTTAAATTTATGACTTATTACTAAAGTTAGATTTACAAAATTATTTGATCTATCATAATGAAAATTGGTTCTTAACTTTAACAAAATTTATAAAATTTGGTCTTATATCTTGTAATGCAAAGAAAAGCATTTTGTTCATTAGCAAAATTTCATCAAAGTCCACATTAAGCAATACAGCCAAACTAAGCGTTTTTGCTATTATATATAAATTATTGCAAAAATAAAGATTTCTCTATACCTAACTTTTATTATAAATTATTGCAAAAAGAAAGATTTCTCTATACATAACTTTTCAATATGAAAAGAACCACTTAACAACTAGGCCACACCACTATTAAGGCCATTTTAAAAAGTAGAAAATATGTGTCTCCTTTATTCTTTAGCAATTTTATCAGTATACCGAACACGTCTCTAGTCTGGCATGCTGGGTATATATATTATCAAATCATTAAAGCTGCACGTCCCCAGATGAGCAAAAATATTTCGATAAAATCAAACCTGAGAAAAATGTACTAAGACTTTAGGAAAAGCATAAAGATTCAAAATTCTGGTAATAATTTACATGTTATGTGTCATTAATGACCAATTTTTCAGTATTTATAACAATATTTCTACTACGTTACTAATGCAGTAAGGGCTATTTCTGCATATTTTGACCTCTTTATGGTAATTTACATGGGTTGAAAGTGCCATTGATAATGTGTAAATTGCATTCTTTTGGTAACTCCACAATATTATACTTTTAAATACATTTTCAAATTTTCATAAAAATTAGTATCAATCTGGAGGCGTGCTGCTTTAACTAGTTTTAGGACCATGGAACACAATGACCAAACAACACCATGTGTTCATTATCCCCATTGTCAGAATCTTTAATTTAATAGGTGCTAAAAAAACAATCCCCCATCCAGTAATATATAATACAACAATAAGTACAAACCCCAGTCTGTGAGTTTGACCGCAAGAAGGTCGTAAACTTTGCCAAGTATAAGAATAGATATAGCGTTGAGCAGTGAAGAAACTATTGTTGCCACAAACAAACATTCACTGTCCGGTAAATCAGGGCAGTAGTCCACCGTGGCAACCACACGATACACTATTACGCCCATTACACTGGCCAGCACTAACATAACCTGAAAGAAAAACAAAAAAATACACTTCTTAATTATCAAGCAGTAAAATACCATGTTTATCTCAAGCATATAAATCTTATCTTTATGAATATCAAATGTGCAATATTGATAAAGTGTATAGATATATATATAGTATATATGAAAATTACAAAATGCTGCAAAAAATATTTCTGGAATTTTACAGAGAAATAAAACCCATTCTTCTAAAAATGCTTAATATATGAAATAAATATGATGTAAATGTAACTTGCTTTAAAAGGGAATTAAGCATACACATCATCAATGCTAAACAGAAAATCTCACTGAAAAATGTTTTTTTTTTCCAGAATAATCTGTTGCGTCTACATGCAACATCTGTTTATGTTAAATAATTGGATTTTACAAACCATAAAGAGCAATGTCATTGCAGATATAAACAATTTCCATGCCCGTCTTGCTGATGGGTAGTACCAATCATTTTCATACGTGACTGGATCCTAGAAAAAAAGGATTTTTATAATATTTTAACAATATTGAAGACAGTTAAAGACCATCTAATCACTACCTATATACCAAAAAGGAAAAGAACTGTTGGTACAGGACAGCACGCTCAACTGTCATCAGTTCTTGATAGTAAAACATGAACATCAATGATATACAATTTTATAAGTTCAAAAAGGGCAACAATTTGTCAAAATTCATTATTTGATTTATAGGCATTTGACAGTGACCTCCTATAATGCTCTCACATATAAGTATGTAAAGTTTCAATCCATTCCTTTCATTGTTTTAGAGATACAACTTGCATGCAAAAACTTAACCAAAGAGTGATGCATATGTCTTCTAGGGTTGTCTAGGTTAGAAAAAATGCTAACCGTTTAACATTATATCTGTCTTAAACGTTTAACCGATCATACTTATAAAATCCTTAGATTTTCAACATTAACTTTCTTTCTTTATGACAAGATATGCCATTTTGTTCATATTTTGCTGTAATCAAAATAATTATCATATTTATATTTGAAGTTAACACCTTAAGAAATGAAAAAGTTATAGTAAAATATATTTTACAGCGCCAAAACTGAAATCTACATGCAGAGGCCGAGGTGAAAAGGACAACTCTCCATATACTTTGCATTGTCAAGCTAAAAAGTGCAGCAATCAAATGGGAAATCATACCTTCCTAACTTTAGTTCCATAGAATTCAGGTCTGTCAGGCTCAGTCTCTTCAAACTGTTCTACATCCCACTGATAAGCCAATTCGGCTTGCTTTCTTTTCCAAATTTCTAAAAATAATGTGCCTGCAAAAAAAAGGTAAACGTATAAAAATTATTTGTTATTTCTTAGTCCCTATTGAAACTAAACTATACAAACTGTCGTAACAAGTTTGCATAGTTTACTTGTTAAAATGTTTTGAATGGGTTTTTACTTCCTATCAAAACAGTGTAGGTCATATGGCAACTTTCCAACTTTACTGGTGGTGGAAGATCTCAGCTGCCCTTCCATGCATTATTTCAGGCACAAACAGGGACCCAAGAAGAACCACCAACGTTCCTTAAGCTAGTTGGATAGCATCCAAAGTCCCTGCTGGGATTTAAACCCGTAACAGTAAAAGGCAAGTTGTTTGAAGTCAACGACTTTATTCACTCGGCCGCTGATGCCCAACCTAGTTTCCTTAAGCAAGAAACTCTTATAGTATGGTCATTGCCAGAGCTGCATCAGTACTACGGGTGTAGTACTTAAGTACCAGTACCAGTACTTGGCAAATTATGCAGTACCATTACCAGTACCAGAATTAGATTTTAGCTTGGTACTGCAGTACCAGTACTATTTTTGGTGAAGTAATTAAGTATCAGTACCATTACATTTATATATTCATCAAAGTTTGAATTATAAAATACACAGTGTCAAACAAATAATTGCAAATATTATTCAGCAAAGAAATAGAATCATAATTTACTTTAAAGTTAACATAACATTTTTACAACATTATAATTTTAACATACTTTTGACAAACAATATTTACAACATATATTCATGTCATATCTTATTGTTTAGTAACCAGTCAACTGTAATACAATGCAATCATCTTTCATTTAAAACACAACAGTCTATTGTTGCCTTTCACACCTTCACACCTCTGTTCAATTTATACCAAAGTAAATAACAACTTTTATGGTGCTAACAATATCACTAGAAATAGAATTATTTAAAATAGAAGCTATTAATAAGTGATTATTTTACTCTTTTACTAGTAAATACAAAGTAATAAAAGATTTTAATAAGGATATTTTAGGATAAAAGTTATTGAGTCTGTTTATCTCAATTAAATTTTTACTTAAGGTGACAACAGACACTTTCCGTGGTTCACACATAAATGTCATTTAAACCAAGTTATTTTAGTAATAATTGTTATTTATTTAATCTTTATGCATTAAATGTCGTTGATCATCATAAAAAATAACATATTTGAAAAAAATGCCTTTGTAAATGATTGATTTTGAATAAAAATCCTAAAATTTTAAATCGTCATATCAAAGTCATTTTTTATTTTTTTGTCATCAAACTTTTGGAAAATAACCATACTTATATTATCTAGGGAACCGTGTCTCAAATTTTTTCTATCTTTTCTCAAAAAAATATTACGTAACGTCAAACATTTTATGCGACTTTTTTCACCATAATATTACGTAATTAAAGATAATTAAGTCGCTGATTGAGCAAACAAAAATCCCTGACACGGTTCCCTCCGTAAATGAATTTCCTTTCATGTGCTTTAAACCGCATGTTAATTGCATGATTGTTAAAAAAGTTATGCCGATTCAAAGTTAGTCCGACCCGCGTCAAACGAGGTGTCATAAATCGGCTGTTCTCTCTTTGACCCCTACGTTTCACGCTAAATAATTGCATAATACACAAATATCGCACCAGAGAGGGTCACAAGTTGCGGTAACATACTCTTACAACATTTTATGACCCAGTGACATCTGACCAATTAACAAGCTGCTGATTAATATCAGTTTATAGCCGAAATTTCTTCAATTCTTAAAGTGATTTACTGTGCGTCTGGTATCTGTCGCACATGTCACGTGACTATCGGTAAAATTTGAGGCACTCAGTGGGGGGAAATGGAACGCATTTGCGCACCACTAGCGGGGTATTTAATTGTTTCCTTTTTGAAGTTTATTTTTATTATCATCAGCATTATTATTGTATTATACCAGTGTCACTCTGCCTGTGTATTCGTATATGAAATTCCGTTAAAATATAAAATAAAATAACAAAAAACTGAGCATCGACAGTTTTTTAAAGTCCATGGTAGATCGATATACAAATAAGAACGGGATATTATATATTTTTTTCCACCAAATTGATAATGCTTCACATATTTTAATAGAAATAAAAGGTATTACTCGATCATTATTATCTGGCCATCATGAATATCATCTATGCACGGCATAGAGATCCAGTTTCTACCGGGATAGACAATAAATTCCATACTTTGTCCCAGATTTATACTGTATTTAGTACTGTGTCCGATTTACTGGCGAACAATTTATTTTCACTGAGAATATATTTTAATTTCTTTTTTTTTATTCAAAGAGAAATAATCATCCTTAGACAATCTAAAATGGTTTAGAAATTTGTCAGGGACACCTTACCACAAGTCATATAGGTGTTCACATAAAAAATGTTGTCTGTTTTTGTTGTTGTTTTACTTGACATTGTTAGAAAACGAGGTTGAATGTAAAGTAAGCCCTTGAATCCGTACAAAAGTCTATCAACTCAGTGTAATATCTATCAGATTAACGGGACAGACACATTATGGATATTTTAGCAACTACATTTTTAATCAACCCCGTGGTCGTGCGATTTGCCGCTATGCTTAATTATTTATGTTTCATACATTATGTTACGTACATTGGCCGACAATTTCTTAATTTATAAAAAAAGGCTAAATGTTGAGATGTTCATAAAAGATGTACGGTAGTTGTACGATACATGTATTACGAGAAGTATGGACCAGTATGGACCTGTAATTCACAGATATATGGAACTACCGATTTCCCTCATTGATGCCTCAACAGGGGGCAGAGCGTTATCGATAATCGACAGGTTACGCGAATAGCAGATACAAATAGTACAGGTACAGTTTTAAAACGTTTAAAAACACATTTTTTGGACTAACTGCTTCCAAAATTAAATCACGAATGTGTTCAGAAAAGGTTGATAAATCTACTTAGCAAAAAATCTCATTTTAGGTTTTTTCAGTGATAATTGACTCCGTTGTCACCTTAAAGTCTTTGGTGCTTTTTTTATGATACTGTATAATGTAAACATTTGAACAAATATTGCAGCAAATTATCTATAGATTTGATAACTTACTTTTTTATAAAAATAAAATAATGTAATTTACAGCTTTATGTAATGAGAAAAACAGATGCTATTTTTATCAAAACCAAAAGTACTGCCTAGTAATGCAGTAGCAGTACCACTTTTTAAGACAGTAATGCAGTACCAGTACCAGAAGTAGCAAAATTTTGTGAGAGTAATTCAGTATCAGTACCAGTACTTGCAAAACAGCTGCAGTACGTACCGCTGTACCAGTACCAGTAATGCAGCTCTTGACTCATTGCTAATTACTGGTTGATTCAAAGTTCTTATTTGAATGACCTACCCCACTATACTCCAAAAACAAAAAAATCAAAATCTGTTCAGCATTTATATATACAGAAAAACCTATAAAAAACTAACATCTGTCAGTGATTTATAAACAAAAATATTATGTAAGAACTAAAATCTGTCAGGTATTTATAAACAAAAAGACTTACCCCATATACTAATGAACATTGCAAAGAATGGAGTCACATCATTGTCAAATGATCCTTTGATATTCTTGAACAGGTCTGCTATAGTGGAGCTAAAATAATAAAAATAATGTAAAAAACAGACAAGTTTTCTAACATTATTTCAATTTTTAAGGAACCTCAGCATAGCAGTTTTGATAAACTATTAACTTTTAAAGCAAAATTTTGATCATGTGGATAAAAACAAATTATGCTCACAATATATGATACAATTTGAATAAATTAAGTCTGAAATAAGTCAAACTGGTGTCGGAACATATGGGCCGTGTCATGACAAAACCAACATTATAGTGCGTTTGTGACCAGCATGGATCCAGACAAGCTGGCGCATCCGCACAGTCTGATCAGGATCCATGCTGTACGCTTATCAACTCTATTACAAGTAGATAAACTGATAGCGAACAGCTTGGATCCTGATCAGATTGTGCAGATGCGCAGGCTGGTCTGGATCCATGCTGGTCGCAAACGCACTATGTTGGTTTTGTCATGACACGGCTCATACAGGACTGATGCTTCTGCTCTCAATAAATCACACACATCAATTTTTTATACAGTCACAATAATATAGGATAAAAGGATCCCGTTTTTATAGTGTTAAATTCCTGATATATCACTATCTAACTTGACCATGTACCAAGGTAATATACATGTATATACACATATATGATATATGTGTATATACATGTATATTATCATAATATGTATATGTATACTATATGGATTTCAATAATTTGAATCAAATTGGTATTATATTTCAAAATAGTTTTTCATGAAAAAATTATTGTTATAATCAATGTTCATATCAAAACAATTTATATATAAGTTTAATTTTTTAAGCAAAACTTTGTGTTATGTATCATACAAATTTACTCACTTAGAACTTGATGTTGATGTTGTAGTTGATGTTTTGTTTGTCTCCTTTATGCTGGAAAATACAACATTATAAATTGGGTTTTTATTGCAGTTGTTTTGTTCTAACAAAAAATATTTCTTGTTTCATACATATTATATTTTTCAGTCTTCTACCAGTTGTGAAGAAAAGTGAAAAATTTACACATTATACTAGTCTTGTCATCTTCTAGTAGAAATTTACTTAAGCTGGACCTACCAAGATATATTTTTGCTTCAGCCAACCCAGGGTCACAGAGTGGGTCAGTAGGTAGGCTTTTTTTTTGTTGATATATGATTTTTACAGAACGTAAGTACATAATTTATATGCTTGGCTGTAGCATATGAATTGTGAAAATTTGGACATCATCATCGGTGATGGCGAAACTGACATGTTTAAGACAGTCAAAAACAAAGACATATTCACTAGTAATCATAATATGCAATAAAAAATAAAATGACTTTGAAGACATAAATTCAAGCGGTCAAATTACCAATGTGATACAACTAATTCTCCGTAAAGATTCCCGAACGACCTGGAAAGTTTTAATTTAATTTTAAAACAATATATATTGGTTTTATTTTTTAAAGTTTTTATTGCATATTTCATGTTTATCTATATCAATAACTTGTGTGCAAAATTCAGATCCATCACTATCTCATTCCAGAATTATTATTTTATAGAGGAAAAGGACCTAAAATGAAAAACGTTTAAATGCTTTTCTACTAAAATGCAACATAGTAGTTATGAATAATCATTTTTTTGAGGAAAAGGACCTAGACTGAAAAGCGTTTAAACACTTCTACTAAAATGCTACATCCAGTATCAGCCAGAAAACAGACCAAGGCCAGATTTCCGGAGCGACCCCCTGATTTCAACAACTCTCTGTCTTATCCCACATGGTTTTAGTCCACCCAACATTTTTCCATACATAAATGGTATGAATAATATGAAATTAAATCTAAAGTTACAAGTCAGGCTAGTATGCACATCTAAGAAATGTAACCAAGATCTAAAATGGTGGCATCTCATTTTAAGTCAGTAAATTCTGATATTGAAATCCGCTTATCAATAATATTAGACTGTCCCAAATTCAAAGAACCAGTTCATATTTAACAACACTGTGTAAGATTTCTAGGAAAGAAAATAGAAATAATTTACAGTCAACCCTAAAGAAAAAGCAGTGAACAAACCTTTCTACCAGGCCGTAGATGAACACAGCAATTCCGAAAATCATTGGTGCCCATAATGTTGTAACCAATGTTCCTGACCACGCAAAATAGAAAGCAATTTTCTCTCCAAAATAGTTTCGTATTTTCCACAATGGTTGAAACTTGTATATCTTTGTCCATGTTAATTGCATATCAAGCCGGGGATCAGTCTTCAGCGTTTCAAGGTCCGTTGGTAGATTTTCTATTTTTGATTTTTCTTTATCATCGGGATCGTAATGGGACTCCTCGTGTAAAGTGAACCGGTCCGTGTACACCCCTTCCATCCTCATATAGTCCAAACCTGGAAACCACATTAAACATAATCATTGTCATTATATTCAACAAGAGATATAAAATATTTATTTCAAATTTATCAACAAAAAGATATTGAAAATACCATTCCAAATCTCTCAAGGACTAAAAGAACTATAATGTTACATTTTAGGTCTTTTTCAACAGATATAAAAAAACCCAGAAATTTTCTATAAAATCATACAGTTTTCTCAATGGTCCAACTTCACACCAGCTTTTTACTTTCCCAAATCCGCAAATTTAGCAATAATTCTTCCCAAAATCAAGAGGCAAATGCCTCTTCCATATTAGGAGAGAGAAATTATATATTATTATTTATATTATTCACTTAGTATGTTTAGATTGGTAAATTTTAATCATCAAAGCAGCTAAAAATGTCCTTACCAACTTTCTGCATGTCTCCAAGTTCTGTTTCCTCTTTGATACAACCCCAACAGTTGCCCACAGAATTTGCTGTAACATAAGAATAATAATTATGAAAAATTATTGTATCATTTATAACTATAATATCTCAAAGTGAAATAGAATTGTTACAGTTTCTGTGACAACATTATAATAAATTCTCATGAGTATAATTATTTTCTTCTGAAATTTAAGACGACATAATTCCAAAGAAGTATCAAATTCATATGTCTTAACTTACAATAAAGCTACAACATTCAATTTATAACAAAGTAAAAAGTGTATTACCGTATGTAAAATAAGTAAATTATTTTATTTAATTGAAAACTTTAATTTGAAAAGAGAAAATTATGATATTATTACAGAACACAAAATTTTTGACTTATTTAAAAAAACTATGGAGAACTAAGAACAAGATATCTCCATAACACAGCACCTAGCTATTCTCGATGATCCAAAGTAAGAAAAAGCTCATGACTGTGTAAACAGTGAACTTGAAGAGGTATTGGAACTTAAAATGCCCATCATGATAGATAATCACAGAGAACAGGTGTGTGAAAATTTCAACCCATTCCATTCCCTTCACCACGTTTTAGCGATACTAACTTGTACGCCACACTTAACCAAAGTGTGATCTTGACTATGACACTGGGGTCAGTACTAAAGCTCTCAGGTTCCCTGCATATATTTACTATGAGAAGGGAAAGAACTCCAGACACATATACTACGGAAAGGGAAAGAACTCCAAACAATTTTTTTTTACTACAGAAAAGGGAAAGAACTTCAGACAAGGACTAATACTAGCTTATTTACAATGACAAACAGGAAAGCACAGAACTTTAAAATAAAGCCATTTTACCAGTAGTGTATTGTATATGTGTTTAAATAATTTTAACTATATATGAAAATTATGATAGAGGAGAGATTAATCAGTGTTTCTTGCCAAACCCCTAAACAGTGAACATACAGTCATGTATATTAGAAACTGCAACCCCACTGCATCCATAACACATAATTATCATATGCATAACTTTGATTATTTGCATTTTATATCTATGTATAGCATTTAGATGACAGATCTAGAAATTCTAAGATTTTTAACCTCTTATAAAGCATTTACTTTAAAGTACCTGGTAATAGTAAAATACAATATTTCAAATTATATACATGTATACATGTACATAAAAGACTGAGGTATGTATTGTATGCTTATTTGAATAGTCATTTATATAAATTGATGTTTTAATACAAATAATACAGAAAAAAGTAAAAAATCAAAAATAAATATGATCAAAACAATTTATAGTAACCATTAAATATGGAATATGTACATCTTGAACAGGTTATATAAGTCTTCTTTTACTTAAAGCTACTTAATTTATGAATTATTTATAAATCAGTTTTTACTAACATCAATATACAAAAATAACTTATTGAAATATGAATAAGTAATGTTAAATTAAAGTTTAATATACAAAAAAAAAAATAATAAATAAATCAGAGTAATAAAGTAAATTAATTTATTATGTTTATTAATAAGTATTATAAAAATGGTAAAAAAGTTAAATATGTCAAAAAATGTTTTGATGCACTGTACCTGTACACAAAATAAGACAGAGATATCAAGTTTGGTTTTATCTATACAGAAATATCAGGTTTGGTTTTACCATCACACAAATAACAGGTTTGGTTATATCTGTACACAAATATCAGGATTAGTTCTACCTGTACACAAATATCAGGTTTGGTTCAAAGTGTACACAAATATCAGGTTTGGTTCTACCTGTACACAAATATCAGGTTAGGTTCTACCTATACACAAGAATCAGAATTGATTCTACATGTACACAAATATCAGGTTTAGTTCTACAGGTACACATATATCAGGTTTGGTTCTATCTGTACACAAATATCAAGTTAGGTTCTACCTGTACACAAGAATCAGAATTGATTCTACATGTACACAAATATCAGGTTTGGATCTACATGTACACAAGTATCAGGTTTGGTTCTATGTGTACTAACAAATCAGGTGTGGTTCTACAGTACACAAATATCAGGTTTGGTTCTACATGTACACAAATGTCAGGTTTGGTTCTATCTGTACACAAATATCAGGTTTGGTTCTATATGTACTAAAATATCAATATAATTATGTACTAAAATATCAGGTTTGTTTCTACCTGTACACAAATTTCATGTTTGGACTTGTATGGAAATATCAGGTTTGGTTTTACCTGTATACAAATATCAGGTTTGGTTCTACCTTAATAAACATATATCAGGTTTGGTTCTATCTGTACACAGATATCAGGTTTGGTTCTTCATGTACACAAATGTCAGGTTTGGCTTTACCTGTACATAAATATCAGGTTTGGTTCTACCTATACACAATTATCAGGTTTGGTTCTGCAAGTACACAAATATCAGGCTTGGTTCTACCAGTACACAAATATCAGATTTTGTTCTACCTGTACACAAATATCAATTTTGGTTCTAGCTGTACACACATATAAGGTTTGGTTCTAAATGTAAACACATATCAAGTTTGGTTCTACCTGTGTTTGGTTCAACCTGTACACAAATATCAGGTTTGGTTCTACCTGCATACAAATATCAAACTTAGAATAAGTACAGAATTTGTTCTACATGGTCAAAAAGTACAAACTTTGTTCTATCTCATGGTCATAAAGTCAAACTTATTTCTACATGGTCATAAAGTACAAACTTTTTTCTACATGGTCATAAAGTACAAACTTATTTCTACATGGTGATAAAGTCAAACTTATTTCTACATGGTCATAAAGTACAAGCTTATTTCTACATGGTCATAAAGTACAAGCTTATTTCTACATGGTCATAAAGTACAAGCTTAGTACTACATGGTCATAAAGTACAAACTTAGATCTACATGGTCATAAAGTACAAGCTTAGTTCTACATGGTCATAAAGTACAAGCTTAGTTCTACATGGTCATAAAGTACAAACTTAGTTCTACATAGTTTTAAAGTACAAGCTTAGTACTACATGGTCATAAAGTACAAGCTTAGTTCTACATGGTCATAAAGTACAAGCTTATTTCTACATGGTCATAAAGTACAAGCTTACTTCTACATAGTCATAAAGTACAAACTTAGATCTACATGGTCATAAAGTACAAGCTTAGTTCTACATGGTCATAAAGTACAAGCTTAGTTTTCTACATGGTCATAAAGTACAAACTTAGTTCTACATAGTTTTAAAGTACAAGCTTAGTACTACATGGTCATAAAGTACAAGCTTAGTTCTACATGGTCATAAAGTACAAACTTAGTTCTACATGGTCATAAAGTACAAACTTAGATCTACATGGTCATAAAGTACAAGCTAATTTCTACATGGTCATAAAGTACAAACTAAGTTATACATAGTTTTAAAGTACAAGCTTAGTACTACATGGTCATAAAGTACAAGCTTAGTACTACATGGTCATAAAGTACAAGCTTATTTCTACATGGTCATAAAGTACAAGCTTACTTCTACATAGTCATAAAGTACAAACTTAGATCTACATGGTCATAAAGTACAAGCTTAGTTCTACATGGTCATAAAGTACAAGCTTAGTACTACATGGTCATAAAGTACAAGCTTAGTTCTACATGGTCATAAAGTACAAGCTTAGTTCTACATGGTCATAAAGTACAAACTAAGTTATACATAGTTTTAAAGTACAAGCTTAGTACTACATGGTCATAAAGTACAAGCTTAGTACTACATGGTCATAAAGTACAAGCTTAGTTCTACATGGTCATAAAGTACAAACTTAGTTCTACATGGTCATAAAGTACAAACTTAGTTCTACATAGTCATAAAGTACAAACTTAGATCTACATGGTCATAAAGTACAAGCTTAGTACTACATGGTCATAAAGTACAAGCTTAGTACTACATGGTCATAAAGTACAAGCTTAGTTCTACATGGTCATATAGTTCAAACTTAGTTCTACATGGTCATAAAGTACAAACTTAGATCTACATGGTCATAAAGTACAAACTTAGTTCTACATAGTCATAAAGTACAAACTTAGATCTACATGGTCATAAATTACAAGCTTAGTACTACATGGTCATAAAGAACAAGCTTAGTACTACATGGTCATAAAGTACAAGCTTAGTTCTACATGGTCATATAGTACAAACTTAGTTCTACATGGTCATAAAGTACAAGCTTAGTTCTACATGGTCATAAAGTACAAGCTTATTTCTACATGGTCATAAAATACAAGCTTACTTCTACATAGTCATAAAGTACAAACTTTGATCTACATGGTCATAAAGTACAAGCTTAGTTCTACATGGTCATAAAGTACAAACTAAGTTATACATAGTTTTAAAGTACAAGCTTAGGACTACATGGTCATAAAGTACAAGCTTAGTACTACATGGTCATAAAGTACAAACTTAGTTCTACATGGTCATAAAGTACAAGCTTATATCTACATGGTCATAAAGTACAAGCTTAGTACTACATGGTCATAAAGTACAAGCTTAGTTCTACATGGTCATAAAGTACAAACTAAGTTATACATAGTTTTAAAGTACAAGCTTAGTACTACATGGTCATAAAGTACAAACTTAGTTCTACATGGTCATAAAGTACAAGCTTACTTCTACATGGTCATAAAGTACAAACTTAGATCTACATGGTCATAAAGTACAAGCTTAGTTCTACATGGTCATAAAGTACAAACTAAGTTATACATAGTTTTAAAGTACAAGCTTAGTACTACATGGTCATAAAGTACAAGCTTAGTACTACATGGTCATAAAGTACAAGCTTAGTACTACATGGTCATAAAGTACAAGCTTACTTCTACATAGTCATAAAGTACAAGCTTACTTCTACATAGTCATAAAGTACAAGCTTAGTACTACATGGTCATAAAGTACAAGCTTAGTTCTACATGGTCATATAGTACAAACTTAGTTCTACATGGTCATAAAGTACAAGCTTAGTTCTACATGGTCATAAAGTACAAGCTTATTTCTACATGGTCATAAAATACAAGCTTACTTCTACATAGTCATAAAGTACAAACTTTGATCTACATGGTCATAAAGTACAAGCTTAGTTCTACATGGTCATAAAGTACAAACTAAGTTATACATAGTTTTAAAGTACAAGCTTAGGACTACATGGTCATAAAGTACAAGCTTAGTACTACATGGTCATAAAGTACAAACTTAGTTCTACATGGTCATAAAGTACAAGCTTAGATCTACATGGTCATAAAGTACAAGCTTAGTACTACATGGTCATAAAGTACAAGCTTAGTTCTACATGGTCATAAAGTACAAACTAAGTTATACATAGTTTTAAAGTACAAGCTTAGTACTACATGGTCATAAAGTACAAACTTAGTTCTACATGGTCATAAAGTACAAGCTTACTTCTACATGGTCATAAAGTACAAACTTAGATCTACATGGTCATAAAGTACAAGCTTAGTTCTACATGGTCATAAGTACAAACTAAGTTATACATAGTTTTAAAGTACAAGCTTAGTACTACATGGTCATAAAGTACAAGCTTAGTACTACATGGTCATAAAGTACAAGCTTAGTACTACATGGTCATAAAGTACAAGCTTACTTCTACATAGTCATAAAGTACAAGCTTACTTCTACATAGTCATAAAGTACAAGCTTAGTACTACATGGTCATAAAGTACAAGCTTAGTACTACATGGTCATAAAGTACAAGCTTAGTACTACATGGTCATAAAGTACAAGCTTACTTCTACATGGTCATAAAGTACAAACTTAGTTCTACATGGTCATAAAGTACAAGCTTAGTTCTACATGGTCATAAAGTACAAACTAAGTTATACATAGTTTTAAAGTACAAGCTTAGTACTACATGGTCATAAAGAACAAGCTTAGTACTACATGGTCATAAAGTACAAGCATAGTACTACATAGTCATAAAGTACAAACTTAGATCTACATGGTCATAAAGTACAAGCTTACTTCTACATGGTCATAAAGTACAAGCTTACTTCTACATAGTCATAAAGTACAAGCTTAGTACTACATGGTCATAAAAGTACAAGCTTAGTACTACATGGTCATAAAGTACAAGCTTAGTTCTACATGTCATAAAGTACAAGCTTATTTCTACATGGTCATAAAGTACAAGCTTACTTCTACATAGTCATAAAGTACAAGCTTAGTACTACATGGTCATAAAGTACAAGCTTAGTACTACATGGTCATAAAGTACAAGCTTAGTACTACATGGTCATAAAGTACAAACTTAGATCTACATGGTCATAAAGTACAAGCTTAGTACTACATGGTCATAAAGTACAAGCTTAGTACTACATGGTCATAAAGTACAAGCTTACTTCTACATGGTCATAAAGTACAAACTTAGATCTACATGGTCATAAAGTACAAGCTTAGTTCTACATAGTCATAAAGTACAAACTTAGATCTACATGGTCATAAAGTACAAGCTTAGTTCTACATGGTCATAAAGTACAAACTAAGTTATACATGGTCATAAAGTACAAACTTAGATCTACATGGTCATAAAGTACAAGCTTAGTTCTACATGGTCATAAAGTACAAACTAAGTTATACATGGTCATAAAGTACAAGCTTAGTTCTACATGGTCATAAAGTACAAGCTTAGTTCTACATGGTCATAAAGTACAAACTTAGTTCTACATAGTTTTAAAGTACAAGCTTAGTACTACATGGTCATAAAGTACAAGCTTAGTACTACATGGTCATAAAGTACAAGCTTAGTTCTACATGGTCATAAAGTACAAGCTTACTTCTACATGGTCATAAAGTACAAACTTAGATCTACATGGTCATAAAGTACAAACTTAGTTCTACATGGTCATAAAGTACAAACTTAGATCTACATGGTCATAAAGTACAAGCTTAGTTCTACATGGTCATAAAGTACAAACTAAGTTATACATAGTTTTAAAGTACAAGCTTAGTACTACATGGTCATAAAGTACAAGCTTAGTACTACATGGTCATAAAGTACAAGCTTAGTTCTACATGGTCATAAAGTACAAACTAAGTTATACATAGTTTTAAAGTACAAGCTTAGTACTACATGGTCATAAAGTACAAGCTTAGTACTACATGGTCATAAAGTACAAGCTTAGTTCTACATGGTCATAAAGTACAAACTTAGTTCTACATGGTCATAAAGTACAAACTTAGTTCTACATGGTCATATAGTACAAACTTAGTTCTACATGGTCATATAGTACAAGCTTAGTTCTACATGGTCATATAGTACAAGCTTAGTACTACATGGTCATAAAGTACAAGCTTAGTACTACATGGTCATAAAGTACAAGCTTAGTTCTACATGGTCATAAAGTACAAACTTAGTTCTACATGGTCATATAGTACAAGCTTAGTTCTACTTTGTCATTTATAAAGTACAAACTTAGTTCTATCTCATGGTCATTAAGTACAATTTTAGATATTCATGGTCAAAAAGTACAAATTTAGTTCTAGTCTACATGGTCATAAAAGGACACACTTAGTTCTACATTGTCATAAAGTCAAACTGTGGTACACATCAGGGTGCATGCTTCAGATTGCAGAGTGTGAGCCGCTAAGTACAAACAAAGTCACAAGTTATTATAGATCAGATTCTTTGTGACATTAGTCATAGATAATAATGAACTTTGTTAGTAGTTTAATGTAACTGTATAAGAATGGTTCTAAGTTTCAGGTTTTACATAATCACAAACAGGACAAAGATTTTAAAGAGGCACAGTCTAACACACCTCAGGTTATACCTATATTCACAAAGTACATGCTTGGTTCCACACAGCTATCAAGTACAGACCAAGAAATACCAGACAGACGCATGTGCATTAAATTACTTACATTCCTGTTTTCTTTTAGCAACTTAATAAAATAACTTAAATCATTAGTGTATTTATATAAAAATCAAATCTTAACCTGCAATTTTATTATTTCACATAACAATTACTAGCTCACAGGCTTGTGTTATACCACACTCATAATCTAGCCAATAGAAATGCAACAGACTAAAACCAAAAAATTAAATACGAAAACAAAGACAAACATATATGTACATTTGGCAAAAGGTTATAATGCATGCTGAGGAAGTAATATAAAAAATCAGAAATTTTGGTGAAGACCATTTTTCAATTATAACTCAAAATAATTATTGAAATTTAAGTGAAGAGCATTTCAAATTATCATTGAAATTTCAGTAAAGAACATTTTTTAAATATAATTCAAAATTGTTATTGAAATAAATTTATATAAAGCATTATCAAGAAATTCAACTAATTAAATAAAATTTAATTTAATTAAATAGCATTTTAAAAGCTAATTAAATTTACTCTAATTTTTATCAACAAAATAAAAAGTTAAAATTTTTCTTTTAACTTTTTTAATTTCAAAATTGCACTTCCCAAAATTATCTGATTTTCTTGCAAAATCAAAAGCAAATCCTGTAAATACTACAAAATCATACAGATTCATGGATATTAACTTTCGTTGATCAAAAAATTCAAGATGATATATTAAATCAATGAGGGGAGATAATTTTGGTGCCTCTACCAGTGAAGAATATGCCATTTGGCATATTGGTGAATGCTTATTTCAGTATTTTGGCATTGAATTAACAATTTATAGTTTTTTTTTATAATTCTAGGTGGAAAAGTATTTCAAATAGCAGTGACCAAGCCAAAATAACACTTGATCACTTCAAATATGATGGCTCTGATTTTAGTTCAAGTTTCAAAGGTCCTTTAACTATGTTCACAAAAGTTAATTATCCAAGAACTTTATTGATTTTACAGTATTTCAAAGCAAAGCAACAAGAAAAGAATGGAACTTATTAATAAATAAAGAAAATAAAAATCTGTATATATACATGAAGTCCTAAGTAAATCAAGTATTTCTTGCTGAGCATCTGTAAAATGAAAATTACTACATATATTGAATTTTTGCAAACATCCATACATTTTGATTCTGAAAAACCATTTACAAGCATATTTGTTCCTGTTTTAAGATGTCATCATTTCACTGAAAAATTTTCAGAAAAATGGACACATTTCAGGTCAGAAGAACAAAAAAAAAGAGTAAAAGTAAGACTAAAATACTGATGATATTTAGTCTTGAATTGAGGAAGGAAGTCACAGGAGCTGAGTTGGCCTTAGAAAAGGCTCTAGATGATATATTGAACTGGATATGACTTGGAGTATCACATGATCATGGTCTGATCTTACCTAAACAGGGCCTTATAATATCTGAACAGTGCTTATGACAAGCAAGAACATTATAGAGGCCAAAAGTCAGATATATATAAAAGTCAGAACAAGGTCTGTTAAATCAGATAAACATAATCTGAATACTTGTCAAGGATCTGAACTTGTTGTATAAAAAATATAATTTTAGCCATGAGCAATCTGATATGACTTGGCTATAATCTGAACTGACCTGAACAAAGGATCTGAGTAGGATCTTAACTAGTCTGATATCTGAACAGCTGACACTTTATGCTGTAATTTAAAGATATGATTTAACATTTGGGAAGTCTAATATAAACTAATGCCTGAACAAGATCTTAACCTTTCTTTTAAAGCAGGAAAACATGACCTAAACTAACCATGTCTTTGACATAAACTCACCTGGACAATGATATTTACTTACCTGTAAATGATCTAAACTTTCCTGAACAGTATCTAAACTTACTTAAGCAGACTAAGTGTAAACTCTTTAGAATAAATATATTGGTATATTTCATGCTTGCACTTTGTACAAATACACCATCCTTTTCTCTCATGCAATTATGTTACAGAATTATGTATGAATTTGGCTATAAGAATAACTGCTTTTCTAGCAAAATTTGCAATTATATATTTATATCCAGCTAGTTTGATTATCCTGCTAATCGAAATACGCAATAAAAAAATACAAATCTATACAGCTTAAAAGAACAAAGAAGTCTTAATAAACTGGCATCTAAATATTAAACATTACAAATTTCGACCAAAATTTACCCCCATAACAAAAACACCAGCCACTTATGCCTAAAACGAAAACAAATGAATTTAATAAGCATTAATTCCTTTATAACACTTGTAAACATTTTGAACTTACATTATGAACAACTGTAAATATAACATTTCACTCATTGAAATGTAAACTCATTTCTAGCTAAAAAAAACTAGGATTTTTAGTCATGGCTCATACTCCTGGTAGTTTAATACTTCATTATAATTTCAGATCTAATATAAAATTTATTTTGAATGTATAATGTTTTAAAACAAGTTAGATGGGTGGTGGTGTTGGTTACTAAGTTTTTACTCCAGATCATGACAGTAAGGCACTCTGAATTTACCAGAGTACACTTCAGCCAACATATATCATTCCTAGGGCAGGCTGACTCAAGCAGTTTACCAGTACTGAATTGCCTTCACTTTGACAACAAACTGCATGATCACTTCTACAACAAACTGATAACTTCTGTACATGCCAGAGCAGTCTTTGGTACAGTGTGAATGACCACGGACAGGATTTTATGATCAATCACAGTGAAAGTGACCTGCACTCTCTGGAAATCAAACCTGAGTCACCCCATTCCAAGTCAAGCGCTCTACCTTTGTGCTAAACCAGACAACTTAATTTTGATAGGACATTTAATACTTATAAATTAACTTCCTGGCTTTTTTTATTATTTCATCTTCAGCACCAGGATGTCCTAGACATGTGTCCATAGGACATGGATGCCCCCACTTTCCATTTTTTTCTCAATCTACCAATGTACAGCATGCCAGCAGGAATGATCATGGGACAAGGGCAAATCAATAAGCATCCCTCCCCATAACTGGGGGCAAAAAAAAAACCATCTTCAATAAGTGAAGATGGGAGACGTTTGAATTTCAAACACCAAAAAAATTTGAATTAAATTTATCCAATCCATCACATAAAATAGCACTTAAAATATGATGATGTCAGCTGACCAATCATATTTTTAATAGCTTGAGTTGTCATCATTTAATTTCATAATGGAATAAAGTATAATTAATTTGCTATACACTTTGATAACTTAATTTAAGAAATTGGAGAAACACCAGTTCTTGACCATTGAAAAAGCTAAAGAAATGGAAAACAATCTGGTCCAAGGACATTCAGGAAAGCAAAGGAAAAAGTATTCTGATAAAGGTACATCTAAATAATGGTTAGTTCTACAACAAAGTTTGTTTTGTTAAAAAGATATTTTATGATCTTTAACTAAGAACCCCGAAATAACACCCACCTTGTCTTGTGTAATATATGGTATCCTCTGTTAATTACAGCATAATACAGTTTAATGATTTTAAATAGCACTAGAATATTTCTATTTTTACACTTTTAGTATAGGTTAAAGATTATAAGTGTGTATTTACAAAATAAAATTGGTGAGGGGTTGTGCGACCACACATCCAATTTAATTTTGTTACTACATACTAATAAATTCTAACCAGCTTAGTGTTTTAAATTATTTTTATAAAAGGTTGATTTACTAGAATGATTAACAGTTTGCCAATTTACCAAAGTAAATGTGTTACGATTCCTTTGAAATACTGCAATCCTATTGGACAAAAAATAATTTCAAACACTAATAACAATAAGATTTCTATTTTTACACTAATTTCAGCACTTGATAAATCAAACAATATAAGAATGGTTTTATATATACTGTCCGTGAGCACTGCAATAATTCAAAGGCGGAGTCAGGAGGAGTGCAGGGGGCGGAGCTAGGGGCAGCTTAAAAAAACCACAACATTATTTCTTCAACTCTTTAAAGGTACAATTGTAGCATCTTATTAAAGAACAACATTAAAACTACATTCTACAAATAATGTGGTGTACAAAATATAAACTATGCAATTAAAATAGTGTGCATTTAAATTTTTTTTTTATTAAGCATATTATATAAAATTTGTGACTGTCGTTTTCTAAAAAATACACATCTAAAGGTCTTAAGCATAAGCAATTTTAATCTAAATTTGACAGTCTGTAAATTATAATTTAAATTAAAATAATTCAGTGTAAATTATTTAAGGATGTGAATAAGGGACATAAATCTATACTTAACCATTAAATAGATACAAGTTTTTGCATAGTAAAATTTGAATTTTAATAAATTGTGCAAAAAAAAAAGGAAATGTTAAATATTCACTTTTTAAAGAAAACGATGCATGTAAACTTGTATGTAAATGGTGTGAAGTATAAATAACCTTGCAAACAAGCTGACAATTTACTCATATTTACCTTCACTTCGTTGAAATTTACTGGCGGCCTTCATTCCAACATAGCGTAAATCTATATTTATTAAAATATGCTCCACCTGAAATAATATATGCATTTACTATATAAAGGGTTGACTGCAAAACTGCAGTAACTTATATAAAATAAAGAAGGACTTACAACAGTTTTGCGATCAACCGTCCATATAGTCATGATTTCTTACATATTATAAATTATAATATAATTACTATTTGTATACAAGGAGAGGTAACTATAACATTCCTAGAGTGGTCTCCCTTTTTCAAAATTTTTGTTGCGTATACTGACATCAGCATTTGCACATCCTTATGTTTCGCCAAAGATTCTTTATGATATGATATTAAAGACTCTGTTATAATGCAATTAGCTTCTTAATTTTATTATTTTGATCTTAGTATCGTCTTTATTAACTATGGTTGGTTCCAACGTTTAACATGCTCTGAGTTTAGTCTACAATGCATATAATTATAATATATAAATCTTGTACAGCAGATTGGTCAAAATTACACAATCACACACAGAAAGTTTTTCACAACTTTCAGACTTTTTAAAATCATTTAAAAAATTTATCTTATCAATATGACATTCTTAATGTGATATTTTATAGAGAGCAAAATAATAGGATGTGTGTTTTGGGATCAAGATCGGGTGCTTGATTTCTATTTAAGAGAAATTTACGTCTAATGATTTCTCTTCACAAAACAGGGGTAACTAAAATTAATGCTCACACTGAGTCTTAAGATTTTTCCTTACACAAACAGGGCCCTAAAATGCAAGCTCAAAGCAAAGCTGATGTTGATCACCTGGCTTCTAAGCATTGTATTATACTCACCAGCAGTGATCTGAGAGAAGGTCTGAAGAAGTTAGTAGGATCATTAAAGTTGACATACAGGTGCATTCTCTCCATCCGAAATGGTGCACTGACCATGTCCACTGAAATTCACAATGAAAATATTTTCATAAAAAAACAACATAACATTTTACAAAGTAATACTCATTATTTCTACTTTAGTGAGTAAATAACTATATGGGGGAAAAAGATTTATGTCGCAAAAACAAGTAGGTCATTATAGCGACTTTCCAGCTTTACTGGTCAAGGAAAACCTTAGGTGTCCCTTTGTGCATTATTACAGGCACAAATACACACCTAAGTTAAAAAACCCTGATGTGCTGTACTTGCTAGCCCAGGATATTTTCTCACATAAAAGAATTCAAAGACCCTGGAGCGGCTTGAGCACCGGTATAAAACTGTTCAGTTTAACCCTTGACCTGTTGGCCTTGCTCTTCACTTGAGGAAAACTTTCAGTTCCAGCACACTTAATTGAGAGGCCTTATCTGACAGAAGATGCTACAAATTGGATTTCAATAATGCTATGTGGATTTATTGTTAAAAATGAATGAAATTTTTCTTGTGTATTTGGAATTTAAAAAAATAATGTTTTAACCTGGGATAAAATGTTATAACTTGACATGTGTAATATTTTGTAAGATTTGCTAAAATATCTTTTTACAGTCTAAAAATATGCAGTGGTTGTGGGAGTAAATTATAAGTTTTGTAATTTTGTTTTCTGGTCTCAAATTGTCAGACTGCTCATCATTATCATTTTCAGTTAGACTATCAGTTATAATTACACAATGACACTGATATATAACTTGTGCAAATTGTAAAAAAGAAAAAAAAAAGAAAAAAAAATTCCTTATTTAAGGATTTTAAAGTTAGTTTGAGCAGTGGGTTTTAATATTATATAATCACGTGAACATGTAATAAGAATTTTCTGTCCATTCTTATAATTATCTCCCTTTCTATATAATCTTTTCATGTGCAAACATACATCATGATGTACATAATTACCATGATGACTTTAATGTGCATTATTAAAGTTCTATTCAGATATTTTATATTTGACACCAGGTATTTATCACCAAATCAAAACATATTAAATGTAATTTTAACCTTTTAAAACCAAAATAACAAAAAACACTGCATATTTTGTTATTGGATACGAGATATTGTGTTGAATACAATTACAATTATTTTACAATCATTTTAGATTACGCCACTCGACTTTCTCCCCAGGCTTATAATGGTATCTGATCTCTTTTGTATAATCATGTAATCAATACTTTTCTATTGATCTCTATAATTGATCTATATATATAGACTATAGTGAAAGGGAATGATAAACTGATCTATATAATGTACGGTATATTTTAAGACCAACCATAACCTACTTTTGCTCAAGAGAGTTCAGGCTAATTAAAGTAAATGGTTCCATTAAATATCTTCCTTAAGATTGCTTGTGAAGAAAGTTTTAAGATTAATTATATTTATGTTGATAAGCTCTGTCAGTCTTCTTCTTAGATAAATCAGTAATTATAGTCACTAAAACTAAAAAGTTGCTTAGAAATGTTTTAAATAAGGTGCCAACACTTTAAACACTTGATCTCAGCTCATCTTGAGTCATTACTTAAGTCACATAACTACATCTAGCCTCATTTAAGGCTGAAATCCTTCGGCAATATTTAAGACTTCTTTAAAGTTTGTAGAACCACTTTCTTCCTAAAAAAAAATTTTTTTTAAACTGGAACGTTCCTGAAGCAATCTTATCGGAAAGCAAAATGGGTTAAAACATTGGAAGCCCAAGGAGTCTTTAATAACACACTATTAAATTTATAAAGGTGACTATTCATTAATCAAGAATTATTCTTTTCAGCCAGGTCTATGTGAGTCTTTAAAGCACCCCATGTTATCCTTTGCAAAGTTACCTAGATATTTGACTTTTCATTCTAATACACAACTTATTGTTGGAGAAATTTTAATTCATTGTATATCACTTTTGAGGGTCTTATAGCTAGATATACCTCTAGATTTATCAAATTGATTGAAGTTTTTAAAATTGTTTGTTCCATTATGGTATGCACGTAGAAAAACATCCAAACTTTGAAATTAATCATACAGTAATTTGGTTTATAGAAAGTAGGAAAGTGAAGTAAGACTTGACTTGTGTTATTAATTTAGTTCATTAGAAAATGAATAATAATCAGTTAATACGCATTTTATGTCAGAAGAGCAAATATATACACACTTCTGTGTTATAGATATACATATAAAATTATAATACTTATACTTAGAAAAAAAATATTGAGCAGATATTTTGTGCTGAAAAAGTCCAAAACTACAACTGTATTTGCATTGATAAACACTTATAAAATTTTATGAAAACAGACTTGAAATTGTTCTAAGGTCTAAGAATTACAACAGATATTATTTAAACTTATCTGTAAACAGCATTTAACTAAGTATGCTACCTTAATTCTTAGATATATTATACATGTGCATTGTATATCATAATAACTTAAAATAGTAGACCTGCAAGATTTACTTTATTTTGTAACTCTAAACAAAAACGCTCAGGGTACCCTTAGTTAGACTGAACCCCAGGTATTTTTAGACTTAACCTTTAGTAAGACTGAACTCAACGGGTCAGGCAGAACCCAAAATAAGATTGAATCCTTAGTAAGACTGAACTCAAGATAAGACTGAACCCAAGGTAAGACTGAACCCTTAGTAAGACTGAACCCAAGAAAAGATAGAATCAAAGAAAAGAAAGAACACAAGGTAAGACTGAACCCTTAGTTTAACTCCCAAGTTTGAACCCAAGATAAGACTGAGTCCACGATAAGACTGAGCCCTTAAACTCCCAAGTTTAATTGGAAACAGTTTGCAGCTAGCTACTGTTACACTTCACTCTGCCTGGTGATTTGTATGCATTAAATATACTCACACTGGATACCATTTAGATCTATGCCTTGTAATTTCTTATAAAAAGGATAAATGAATAAACATGTACTGCTATGATTTAACACCACAGATTCAATTCATATTTTCCAAGTTATTTAGTTGGTGAAAAAAGGGTTAGAAAAATTGGCAAGGACCACTTGAGAAAAGCACTTTAAGAGGCTTCGCGCTAATATGAATAACAGTTTCCAAATACAGAAGCATATATTAATTGAGCAATGACTGAAAAGACCCTGAAGAAAAAAATACAAGAAGTTAAAAATTGTTATGATAAATTATTTTAGAATTTGTGAAATTGTCTTCAAATGTCAGGAATGGCATCGTACTAGCAGTTTTACTCATTTACATATTCAGTGACTTTCAAGTTTGATAATAAAGTTTGAATAGAGTAAGACTGTAACTCAAAAGTAACAAGGGTGCCATAGTCACAAAATACGCCCGTTTACGAAAGCTTTAGATGGAGATGGGGGCATTATGGATAAGTGTTATCTAGCAAGCAAGTTTTTATTCTTGGCACTGTGTTGTTAAATGAAACCTTAAAACAAATCAGTAGGGAAGATATTGCACAGGATGTGTGACCTTGACCTTGGTCGCAGGGACCTGAATTTTATGCACGGCACTCCCGGCCCCAA